CCCCCCCCCCCCCCCCCCGCCCCGCCTCGGGATTCCGCTGCGGGCGCGGCGGCGGCGGCGGAGACGACGCGCGGCAAAGGCGACGGCAGCGGTAGTGGCGGAAGCAGCAAGGGGCCCAGAGTGGGGAGTAGTAGCGTCGGGGGGCGTAGCAGTAGCGGTGATGGAGGTGGTGGCAAGAGCAGCGGCAGCAACAACAAGGGGAGACGCGTGGGGCTCACAGGGGTGAAGGGGTACCCCGGCAGGTAGCAGCAGCAGCGGCGGTATCCCCGCTGTCCCCGAAGCTGACGGGGATGGTGCCGCCGCCGCCGACTTAACGAGTCGTTTTTTTGTTTCCTGTCGATTGAGTGTTTGGTTTTTGCCCGTTAATTGCTGGGCGCGGCGGGAGGGTTACTGAATCGGACGAGAGGGCGGAGGGGAGGTGAGATCGGTAAGTGATAGAATATGGTACACAACAACACATGCTCAGACGCACACACACCTTTTCCCGCCTTGCTGATGACCGGAGGAAATTACGAGCGTTTCATGGTGGTGGTGATGGTGGTGGTGGGCGCACGACGTTCGCGTTGGCGTTGCATGTTTAGATGGACTAGACTTTGGCGGGGTGTGGTGTAAGACCGGGGCATAACCTCAATTCCAGGTTGTTCTCGGTAGTTTACGCGTCCAGCACGAACACGGGGGGGGGGGGTTATACTGATGTGACGATTCAAACTTCCGAAGAGAGTCGAGGTCGAGGGGGAGAGAGCTTGAGGCGTCTTTCTCCGGTACTCTGCTCGACGTGGTGTCTATCCTTGTTGCGGGAGTGGAGCGGGGGGCGGGGCGGGGGTTGTTGCGGTGCGGTGTTGCCGGGAATGCCCTCGCGTCACGTGCTGTGCTGCTGTCGCGGCTGTGTCTCATGCGACGAATGAAAACGACAGGATGGGGTGTTTCGACATTTAGGCCGCCGTAGCCGGAGGCGACATTTCGCGAAGTCATGCGGGCTGTGGGGGCTCGTTTTGGTCGCTTCCAGGGACGTGTGTGTGTGTGTGTGTTTGTGTCTTTATTGTTAGCATCGACCGCGCTACCCGACTGACCAATGAAAAGGCGTCAGTCTTAGTGCCGTTGCAAACCACAAAATACTTTAATCTGCCATGAACTGGGACCCCGTGGGGGGGCGACATGCGGGAGGCTGTGTGTGTGTGTGCTAGTTTAGTGATTCTTGGGAAGGCGCGACGTAAGATGTTGCCCGGCGTCTGGGTCAAAGCGGCTGCGGGGGGCGCGCCTGAGAACACCCAGGACCACGGAGCCCGGGGTATGCTATATCCTTTATACTTTTATCAGGGGTTCATGCAGAAGGTACCTTTGTGCCCCAAGACTATAGTGGGGGGACACCGCATTTCTATTCCCGATGGGGCCTCTCAAACTGGATAAGAGCGCGAGACATGAGGGCGGGGGGGGGGGCGAGGGGGAGCTGTGGGGTCCAGGGTTTTTGTCATGTGTACCCCCTTGTGCAGATACACCGGGGTAGTCAGGAGAGGGGGGGAGGTAAAGTTTAGAGGTTTGCGCGGAAGGAGGCAGTCATAGATAGAGATGTTTTTGTTTGTTGGTTTTCGTCTGCTGTGTTTTTGTCGTTGTCTTGCGTGTTTTGGAGTTTAGTATCGGGGGGGGGG